CATGCAGGCAAGTCCCGGCATCCTCCTTCACAGCACTGAAGCAAACACTGATTCTCCAATCTCTGGTTAAAAGCGAATCCGAAGCTCAAGGACTGCAAGCTGCCAGTCAAGGCCCCATTGTCCTAGCTCTGGCTGAAGCAATGCCCGAAGCTCAAGGACTGCAAGCTGCCAGGCAAGGCCACATTCTCCAAGCGCTGCCTGAAATGATGTCCGAAGCTCAGGGACTGCAAGCTGCCAGGAAAGGCCACATTCTCCAAGCTCTGGTTGAAGCAATGCCCGAAGCTACTGCAAGCTGCCAGGAAAGGCCACATTCTCCAAGCTCTGGTTGAAGCAATGCCCGAAGCTCAAGGACTGCAAGCTGCCAGGCAAGGCCACATTCTCCAAGCGCTGCCTGAAATGATGTCCGAAACTCAAGGATTGCAAGCTGCCAGGAAAAGCCACATTCTCCAAGCTCTGGTTGAAGCAATGCCCGAAGCTCAAGGACTGCAAGCTGCCAGGCAAGGCCACATTCTCCAAGCGCTGCCTGAAATGATGTCCGAAACTCAAGGATTGCAAGCTGCCAGGAAAGGCCACATTCCCCAAGCTCTGGTTGAAGCAATGCCCGAAGCTCAAGGACTGCAAGCTGCCAGGCAAGGCCACATTCTCCCACCGCTGCCTGAAATGATGTCCGAAACTCAAGGATTGCAAGCTGCCAGGAATGGCCACATTCTCCAAGCTCTGGTTGAAGCAATGCCCGAAGCTCAAGGACTGCAAGCTGCCAGGCAAGGCCACATTCTCCAAGCGCTGCCTGAAATGATGTCCGAAACTCAAGGATTGCAAGCTGCCAGGAAAGGCCACATTCTCCAAGCTCTGGTTGAAGCAATGCCCGAAGCTCAAGGACTGCAAGCTGCCAGGCAAGGCCACATTCTCCAAGCGCTGCCTGAAATGATGTCCGAAACTCAAGGATTGCAAGCTGCCAGGAAGTGCCACACTCTCCAAGCTCTGGTTGAAGCAATGCCCGAAGCTCAAGGACTGCAAGCTGCCAGGCAACGCCACGTGCTCCAAGCGCTGCCTGAAATGATGTCCGAAACTCAAGGATTGCAAGCTGCCAGGAATGGCCACATTCTCCAAGCTCTGGTTGAAGCAATGCCCGAAGCTCAAGGACTGCAAGCTGCCAGGCAAGGCCACATTCTCCAAGCGCTGCCTGAAATGATGTCCGAAACTCAAGGATTGCAAGCTGCAAGGAAAGGCCACATTCTCCAAGCTCTGGTTGAAGCAATGCCCGAAGCTCAAGTACTGCAAGCTACCAGGCAAGGCCACATTCTCCAAGCTCTGCATGAAATGATGTCCGAAACTCCAGGACTGCAAGCTGCCAGGAAAGGCCACATTCTCCAAGCTCTGGTTGAAGCAATGCCCGAAGCTCAAGGACTGCAAGCTGCCAGGCAACGCCGCGTATCCGAAGCCCGAAGCTCAAGGACTGCAAGCTGCCAGGCAAAGCCACGTTCTCCAAGCTCTGGCTGGAACACACTTCTACGCTCAAGGACTGCAAGCTGCCAGGCAAAGCCACATTCTCCAAACTATGGTAAAAACATGCCCCGAAGCTCAAGGAGTGCAAGCTGCCAGGCAAGGCCACAATCTCCCAGCTCTGTATGACTCAAAGACTGCAACCCGCCTGGCAAAACCACATTTTCCAAGCTCTGGTTGAAACACTATCCAACGCTCAAGGAACGCAAGCGGCCAGGCACGGCCACATTCTACAATCTCTGGTTAAAAGCGAATCCGAAGCTCAAGGACTGCAAGCTGCCAGTCAAGGCCCCATTCTCCTAGCTCTGGTTGAAATCGAAAACGAAGCTCAAGGACAGCAAGCTACCAGGCAAGGCCACATTCTCCAAGCTCTGCATGAAATGATGTCCAAATGATGTCCGAAACTCAAGGACTGCAAGCTGCCAGGAAAGGCCACATTCTCCAAGCTCTGGTTGAAGCAAAAGGTGAATTTTTTCACACGAAAGCGGGCTGCGTCGCTAGCCAGGTTAGGCTCTTCGGAACCGAAGTTCCGGAAAACATTAACTATGCACAGAAAAGGAAAAACTCTCGAGGTGTCCTTGGCCTGCTTAACACGGCCGAACTATGTGCAGGGAACACCGAGAGAAAGCATTGAGGGCTTAACCAGTTCCGCGAGAAGCTCGGCGGCCTACGGCTACTCACTGGTTTGGCTCTATACAAAGCCCTAGGCAAATGTTCTGCAGGTTGAACTGCCTGGTCTGTACTGCCTACCCTATAAGCCCTGCCTGTACAGGGGAGATACTCACCCACATTCGGCTCACTCAGAAAAGGCAGAAGGTCCGGAACCGACACATGGGCAATGCCTGTACAAACTGCAAACAAGTGGATTGGCAAAAGTCGCCAACCTCCGGAACAGGCCTAAGCTTTCTCGCACTTACTAACCTAGGCCCCAGAAACTCATGCCGCAGCAGCACTGAGCTCCTGTTTGCCCCGTATGCTGACCTGGTTTTCTCGCACTTACTCACCAGGGAGGAAGAACCAACTTTCTCGCTCTTACTCACTGATTCAACCTCAGCGGCTCCAGAGGAACCCACACCACTTGCACGCAGGGAGGGCTTGGTTGATTTGGGCATCTCAGCTGGGCAGGCTTTCGGGCACCGAGCCACAGCCTTTAACCTCCGCAATCTGGTGCCTCAGGCTGTCCGTCAGCCTAGGTTTTGGTCCCTAACAAACAACGCCTGCCGCTAGGCTCCTCCTGGCTGGGCTTGCACCACCAGGAGAAAACAACACACCCTGCAGGGACAGCAAAGGAAATACTCAAAGGCCAAACACGGGTAACCCCAAACTGATGCAGGGCATCATGCCCTCGGCCTCAACCTGCCGGTGTACTTGGATCCTCGTCCGTTCCTCAACATCTCAGCGCGCAACCCTCCCCTCATCAACCAGTGAGGATCTACAGGGACCGGTACTGACGTTTTCCGTGCGTGCGCTGCGTTTGCGAGAACCCCGTGTTGGGCCTGAAAGTACCCGCAAGCACCTGAGCCCGAAAACCCGGTCCAGCGGTCTGCTTGACAGACCGAGCAAGGGTGCCGAACCGGTGTCAGGCTGAACACAGGCCGCATCATGGCGGCCAGTCCTGCCGGGTGTCCAACGGAACAACTGCGAACCTATTCCGTTGGATGGAAAAGGGGGTGCCGGGACTGGGCACTGAACTGCTTTCGCTCTAACCTGCTTCCTTATGCAATCATTGCAAGCAGTTTCGCTTTGATTTGTACATCCTTGCTTGAAAAGGAGAGTCTCCTCTATGACATTGGATTCCGGAGGGGAGAGTCTCACCCTTGATTCTGGCAGGGCATAGCTCCTGCAATTTGAGTGGGTTGGGGCCGTATTAGGTCAGACCTCCCAGGGGATGTCTTCCAAGTCTTCAAAGCCACACTCAAGCCATTCACTGCTGCATGCTTCTTCTGGGGAGTCTAGATCCTGAGAACACCCTTCCTCAAGGAAGGTCCAGCCATGTGCGCTGGCTGCAGAAGACAGCGGCGCCAGCGAAGATTCTACGGGCTCCGTACCTTGGTGACCTAACTGACGCAAGTCAGCCAGGGAGGTTTAGGAGGGTTTAGGAGGGTTTAGGAGGGTTTAGGAGGGTTTAGGAGGGTTTAGGAGGGTTTCGGAGGGTTTAGGAGGGTTTAGGAGGGTTTAGGAGGGTTTAGGAGAGTTTAGGAGGGTTTAGGGTGGTTTAGGGTTTAGGGTGTAGGGTTTAGGCTTTAGGGTTTAGGGTTTAGGGGGCTTAGGGGTGTTTAGGGGGGGTTTAGGGGGGTTAGGGGTTTAGGGGGTTCTGGAGGGGTTCAGGGGTTTTAGGGGGGTTTTTGGGGGGTTTAGGGGTTTTAGGGGGGTTTAGGGGTGTTTAGGGGGGTTTAGGGGTTGAGGCGGTTTAGACAAGGGGGAGTTTCGCGGGCTTAGAGGCTTTAGAGGGCTTGGGGGGAGCCTCCCGCCCCCAAAAGCTTTTCAGCTCAGGGTTTAAGGGCAAACCCTGAACCCGAAACCCCCCTTAAATAGAGGGGAGCTCTAGGCCCAAGCTAGGCAGCCTTAGAGTAGGTGAAAGCCGCACCGGTTGCGCGTCCACGAGATGATTGTCCGAAAACCGCAGCCTTGTAAATGGCCCCTGGGAAATGCTGTTCTGGACTTGGTAGCCTCTTTTTGGGTTTACCAGGTTCCCTTATAAAGTCACCAGCCCCCCCCCCCCCCCCCAAACAAAAAAACAAGACAAGGGTACCCTTATTGGAATATGGCTGCGGGGCTACCAAGTGGATGCTCTGTCTCACGCTTGCTCGAGGCAGCGCCGGCCTGGGCCTTTTTGCAGGCTTTGGTGCACGTCGGCGCTGCGTTGCAGGTGTCATCCGGCAGCGGACAGAGCTTCAAGCACTACCGGATTTTCCCAGGGTCCCGGCTCGGACATCTCCAGCATGTCTGCCCTCCAGCTGATCTCGCACAAGCAGCTTTTTCAAGCGAATGCAAGCCGGATCGCTTCAAAGCAATACCCGAGCAACCCTAAACTCCCTTGAAGACAGTTCCCGAGCATGATCGGCTTCTTCTTGGACTTCCGATGTGTTTAGGGTTTGTGGGCAGGACTCATATTTAGTGAAGTCTGGGAAGTTTTAAGGGGCTTCGGGGTATACGTGGTGGGTTCCCGAAGTTCCTTTTCAAGTCAATATACATACTGGTTTGATAGGAGTGCGAAGGGTTCTTCGCTACAGCTTTGGGTGTGCCAACAGTGTCTCATGGAGGATCCGCCCCTTGTTGTAGTGCTGTCAGGGGCAACCAAGCACCCTAAACCCTAAACCCTAAACCCTAAACCCTAAACCCTAAACTCTAAACCCTAAACCCTAAACCCTAAACCCTAAACCCTAAACCCTAAACCCTAAACCCTAAACCCTAAAGCCTAAACCCTAAACCCTAAACCCCCCTGAAGGACTCAAGCTCCGAAACTTTCTCCGAATCCAGCGATCCCAAGAGCAAAGGAGCGGCCCTTCAACGCCGAGAACCCTATGGCGATGTGCCCCTCCCGGGGGGGAGGGGGGGGGGGGTGGCCCGCTTGTTGTTTGGGGGTGAGGTGTTTAGGATGCGGCGGGTTTAGGATGTGGGGGGTTTTGGGGTTCAGGGCTGTGGGATTGAGGTTGAGCCGAGGGGGGGGTTGGCAGGGGGCGGGGGGGAGTTGAATTGAAAGCCTTCGCTGCGTGGTAGGGCGGGCTGCTTGGTCAGTTGTCAGGTCTGGCAGCGTATGTTTGTTGCCTCTGTGCTGCTGCGACACTTGCATGGATGTCGGGTTCAGGGAAGCACGTGTTTAGTAATTTAGCCTCGTCTTGGCTTTGCGGAGCGGAATGTGTATTTTCTTCTGTGCACACAAGTATGCCCGTCTGCCGTATGTATGGAAGTTCAAACAAAGGCAACGGTGCATGTATTCAGGTGAGCCCACCACATCGTGTTGACATGTTTGGTTTTTTGGTCCCAGCAGTTTGGGTTTTGATCTGCTTTCAGCTCTTGATACCTTGGACCTGGGCTCCGAGCAAGGGCCCGAAACCCTTAGGAGCCCGAATGCCCTCTGGCTCATGCTGCAACCCCCGAAACTTAAGTCCAAAACCCAAGCCTTGAAGGGTTTTGTCGGAGTCCGAAACCCCTGCGGCAAACCTTTTTGAACCCAATGGCGCCATCCATCCCATGCCCCATCCGCCACCCCATACCCTCCCGCCCCCCCGCTTTGTGGGGGACCGGGAGGTACGCCCAGCTGAAGCTCACGAATCTAAACCTTGAGCCTGCCCGGCTCCTGGCTTCGAAATAGGGTTTAGGGTTTAGGTGGGGCGTGTAGGTAGACAGGGCTTTCAGGGTTTCAAGTTCAGTGCGTCGGGTCTGCGGATTCATTCGGGGATAGGCAGAGGGCGCGGAGTGTAGGCGTTTTGGGTCCAAGGCCCAGAGTTCGTTTCACGTTGTTCAGTTAGGATGCTCGAAAGCTCAATGCCTTCCTAAACCCTAAACCCTAAACCCTAAACCCTAAACCCTAAACCCTAAACCCTAAACCCTAAACCCTAAACCCTAAACCCTAAACCCTAACCCTAAACCCTAAACCCTAAACCCTTACACTCTGAGCCCTTCTCCAAAATGCCGCTCAGCCAAGAGCTTCAGTTGCGGTTGGGCTTCTCGTTTGCGGGGTGGTTTCGTGAGGGCAACCTCAAGCCCGCAGACCCTCATCCCTAAACCCTAAACCCTAAACCCTAAACCCTAAACCCTAAACCCTAAACCCCAACTATTGAGTTCTTCCTAGGTAGGATAAGGGGACCCTGAAAAGGGAACCCCTTCTTAACCCTCTTCTGGCTCTCTTAAACAGGGACCTTATTCAGAGGGTCTATGTCCCCAAGGGTCCCCCTAATCCTATCCCCTAGTTCTATCCCCTCAACCCCTTCAACCGCAAACGCCCCCAAAACCTACTAGTCTAGGGTTTGGGGTTTCGGGTTTCGGGTTTACGTGTCCTGGCCTGTTTCTCAAATTCCGGTGCGTTGGTTGGCTTACAGTGTGTCCCATGTGTTTTTGGAAGCCCCCCCCCCCCCCCCCCCCCCCCCCCCAAAAAAAAAAAACACAAACAAAACACAAGAAACAAAAAACAAAAACACCTAAACCCTAAACCCTAAACCCTAAACCCTAAAGCCTAAAGCCTAAAGCCTAAACCCTAAAGCCTAAACCCTAAAGCCTAAAGCCTAAAGCCTAAACCCTAAAGCCTAAACCCTAAACCCTAAACCCTAAACCCTAAACCCTAGACCTTAGACCCTAAACCCTAAACCCTAAACCCCCCCTCTCCCCCCGCAACAAAAAAATCGAGGATGCATTGGGGCGGCCGCCAATCCCTGAAGGGCTCCATGCCGAGACACTCCTACTCTCAAACCCAAGCCCGAAACCCCAAACCAAAACCCTAGACCCTAGACCCTAAACCCTAAACCCTAAACCCTAAACCCTAAACCCTAAACTTTTGCAATTAGATCCTATGCTGCACAGCCCGCAGCCTAAACACCAAAACCCTCAAGTCCCTAGGATCCTGAACCCGAAGCCCCTCCCTGAACCCCAAACCCCCCAAAAACGGACAAAAACCCGCCTAAGCCCCAAACCCCAAAGTCCTCACAGGTACACCCTAAACCCGAAACCCTTCAACCCCGAAGAACCCTTAAACCCTAAACCCCACCCCCCAAACCCGAGGTGCGCCGCGCGGACGCGTCTGATGCGGCAGTCAGGGGCCCGAGGGCAGGGTTTAGGGTTCAGGGTGGGTTTAGGGTTTAGGGTTTAGGGTTTAGGGTTTAGGGTTTAGGGTTTAGGGTGTGTTTGGCTTAAGGTTCAGGGTTTGGGGTTTGGGGGGGGGGGGGGGGGGGCGGGAACCATTACTTGGTGACTTAAACGAAAAATGTTGCGGCAAGGGGTTCCAAGAACAGTGACGTTGATGGTTTTGCCAGCTTTGGGAAGTGGCGTGTGCCGTGTCATTGTTCCTCCTCCTGCTTGCTTTCTTGTTTCGGTGGTTGCCCACTGTCCTCTCGGAGTCCTCTCGTGCCCTCGTGCCAGCTAGCATGCCCACGTATCTGATAGGTATATTTATATATATATATGTATATATATATATATGTGCACATATGTATGTATACATGTGTTTGTATACGCAGTGCATCGAGTCATGTTCAACCGGTTAGGGTTTCGTAACTGCTTCAAGGCAACGCCGACGTTCAACTCTTAAAGCAAGTGTGGATGCTGCAAGGAGGACCGTGAACTTGTGAATACATGCATATAGTAGCATTAGCAAGAACCTGGAATCATTCACATAAATCCCTGGTCAATCTCGCTGCTTTTCTGCTGCATCCACTTCCTTAGGAACTAGGTTCAGGGGTTGCGGGGGATGAGGTTTCGACGTCTGGGCGCTTTATGGGGTTTGGGTAGTTAAGCTGGGGCATCCACGTGCATCCCATACATAAACCCTAAACTCTATACAAGTAGGTTTCGAGGGCTTAAGCCCTAGCCCTAAACCCTAAACCCCAAACCCCTGGGGCTTAGGGAGTAGGCTGAAGGATGCTCAGGGCTCGGCGGGGTGGGGTTTAGGGTTGACGGAATGAGGGTTTAGTGTTTAGGGTTTAGGGTGTAGGGTTTAGGGTACGTCTGCGGCCCAACGAATTAGAGTGGATGGTTGAGGGTTTTGGGGGGTTTAGGGTTGAAGGAGTTTCGGGTTTTAGGGGTTTAGGGTTTAAGGGGTTTAGGGTTTGAGGGGGTTTAGGATTTAAGGCCTTTGGGGGTTTGGTCTTTAGGGTTTTAGGGTGTTTAGGGTTTTAGGGTGTTTAGGGTTTAAGAGGGTTTAGGGTTTAAGGGGTGTAGGGTTTAGGGTTTAGCCCGTGCTTGGCTTGAGACGCCTTCCTTTGAGGATCCTAAGCCCTCAGCCCTAAGCCCTCAGCTCTAAGCCCTAAGCCCTAAGCCCTAAGCCCTAAGCCCTGGGCCCTAAGCCCTAAGCCCTAAGCCCTAAACCCTAAACCCTAACCCCTTCTCGGCGGCCTCGATCTTGGCCCGAGCTGACACGTGCAGGTCTGCGAGGTTTCTCTCTCCACGCAGGGTTGTTTCGGGTGTAGGGTGTAGGGTCACACACACACACCACAGACTGTCAGAGCCTGCGATATCTACGTACCCTTGTCACGTGTCTTGAGGCAAGGATGGCTACATGTCTCATGTCACCCTTTCTATTCAAGTTTGCTACAAGAATCCTGGGTTCAGGGCTAAGAAGCTTAGGATCTAGCCTTCACCGAGGGCCTCAGAACCCACAGCTTTCAAGGGGTTTCAGCGTTTCGGGCAGCAAAGTCTGGCCATCTCACAGTTCGCGCTGCGCTCAGCTTTCTGCGCTGGTTTCGAGCTACGCAAACCCCTGAACCCTAGACCCCTGAGACCTACAACCCCCCAAGGAAATCCTCAACCCTCAGCCCTGAACCCTAAGCTGTAAAGCTCTAAACCCTCAGACCCACCTTCCGGGACCTGTGTTGGGGAGGGCTTTCGTCTCTTCAAGGCCTAAACCCTAAACCCCCTAAGCTCCAAGCCCGATACCCCTGAAAGACCAAAACCCTGCAACAACATTCCCCCAGACCTAACATTATGACGGTAAGAAACCCAAAGCTGCCGAATGCACTACCCCCCACTACTTCCTAAAGTTCCGTAAGGTTCCGTAAGGTTCCGTAAGGTTCCGTGAGGGTTCCCTAAGGTTCCCTAAGGTTCCCTAAGGTTCCTTAAAGTTCCCTAAAGTTCCCCAAGGTTCCTTAGGTACCTCAACCCTAAGCCCTAAACCCTGAACCCTAAACCCTAAACCCCAAAACCCTAAACCCTAAATGAACCCTAAGCCCTAAACCCTGAACCCTAACCCTAAACTCCCCATGAACCCCTCTCCCTTAAGGACCCCAAAATGAAAGGGAACCCGCGCGCGGAGGCTTGTCGTCGCTAAGTCGCGGCAAGCAGCCGGCTGGCAATGGGGTGCGCCTTAGGAGGTTTAGGGTTTAGGGTTTAGGGTTCAGGGTTTAGGGTTTAGAGTTCAGAGTTTGGGGCGTGTCAGCAACTGAAAGTTGAGGATTTAATGGTTGGGGGGGGGGGTTTAGGGCTTCGCGAGGGCTTGCAGCTAGCCCCCGAAACCACCCTAAACCTGATTTTCACCAGATCCCTGCCCCCCCTCTCTGGTATTTCTTGGCGGTTCAAGACTTGGGGCTTGGATGCCTTAGATCAGCCCCCTCTTATGAGGTCTATGCCCATGTTGAGGGTTCGGGGATTTCTTGGAGGTTCATGGTACTTACTAACCACTTATAACTGGGCTTATAGCCCTACTTATAAGTGGAAGAACCCCTACAAGGCCCTTTAGGGGGATTGTAAGTAGGGTTATAAGTACTGTTATAATTGCTTAGTAAGTACCATGAACTTCCAAGTAGGGCTTTAGGGTTCGGTGTTAGACCCTCAACCCTTAGGCGGAGGTTCTTAGACCCTAAGCTCAAGATTCAGGGTCTCGGCGTTTATGCGCTGGGGGTGCAGGGATAAGGTTTAGGCTTTATAGGGTGGGGCTCAGACATGATGCTCCGGCCCCTAAATCCTAGACCCTAACCCCTAAACCCCGAAACCCCTACACCCTAAAACCCTAGAGCCTACAGACGAGCGGTTCCTCTGCAGGGCGGCTCCGGGGAAAGAAACCGGGCTCGACCGTCCTTGGCTCAACCGTCCTTCCGTGGGTTCGGGGAAGCCCTAAATCCCCAATTTGGTAGGGTTTAGGGTTGAGGGCTTAGGGTTGTTTAGGGTTTAGGGTTGAGGGTGTTGGGGGGCTTACTGGAGTCTTAGTCCCTGCCCCTGCAGACTCCTGCGCCTCCTCCTTTTCTCCCAACTGCACAACTTCTAGGGATGCGGATGTATGTCGAGTTTAGGGTTTGGGGGGTGGGTGGCTTTTGGGCTACTTGAGAAATCCCACAAGTTGAGCTTCGTATGGTCCGCTCTCCTTCTTGAAGCTCCCTTCCGGGGTTCCCTAAACATTCGTGGCCGCATTATGACGGGAGGGCCTAGGCCTGCCAAGGGACCATATGTAGGAGAAGCTGACCACAATAGATTTCCTTGGACGTCAGGGTTTGGAGTTTGGGGCTGGTATCGCAACGCGTGGCGTCCGATGAACCGGACCCACCTGGTATCGATCAACCCTGGGTTCCGAAGCAGCCTGCAAACGACAACGCTCGACTGCGTGAGGCTTCAAGAATCTCGCCAGAAACCCCCCCCCCCCACAGCCCGGATCAAGACCCATCGCTCCTGAGACGTCATCAAGCGCGCTGAAAGCCGGGCGGGTAAGTTCACCATCAGTCGGGAGACCCAGTGTTGCTGTCGTTTCCTGAACAGGTACCATTGGAGTAGCTGTAGACTGCACCCATGGCTTAGTTTCACAAGCTCGGAGAGGTTTCTTCGGGGGGATGAGGGGATGACTGAACTGAAACGCTTTCCTGAAAACCGGTTGTCAAACCCACCCCAAAGCCCCCCCCCCCCCCCCCCCCCCCCCCCCCCCCAAATCTTCCAAAATCCTCCCAAAATCTTCGATGAGCCTTGAATTGCCTATGAGTTGGCGCAGCCGGGATGAGCATGGGTTCTGGCCGCTCCTGGCCTTTATTGTAAAAGCACGGGGGCTCGACACCCTAAACCCTAAACCCTAAACCCTAAACCCTAAACCCTAAACCCTAAACCCTAAACCCTAAACCCTAAACCCTAAACCCTAAACCCTAAACCCTAAACCCTAAACCCTAAACCCTAAGACCTAAACCCTAAACCCTAAACCCTAAGACCTAAGACCTAAAACCCTAAACCCTAGCGTGAGCTTGGGGTTTCATCCTCGGGCAGGCATGATTAATCGAGGCACACTCTTTCTATCTGTACCTTGTCGCTCTTGTAGCTTGTTTTGGGCCGCCAGCGAAGGTGTCAACAGAACACCAAACCTACTGCCTCTGATGTCGCCCTAGCCCATGAAACCCTAAACATATACATCCACAATATGTTGCTAAAGCAGAAAGCAAACAAAACAACAAGAATAGCTATCCAAATGCACGTAAAATCTCTCTCTCCGCCCCCTCCCACTACCGCCCCCGAAGGTGGCCGCTACCACCGGAAGCCTCAAAAATTGGAGGCGAGGGTTGAGGTTGCCAGCTTACACCCCAGACCCTAAACCCTAAACCCTATAAACCCTACAAACCCTATAATCCCTACAAACTCCAAAAACCCTTAAAACCCTACCCCGAACCCCTAAACCCCTAAACCCTAAACCCTAAGCCCTACACCCTACACCCTAAACCCTAAACCTGTTCGGCTTCCTTGCACAAGAGGGGGGGTGGGGGGGGTGAGGTGGGCCTGGGGCTTGCGATTGCGTGTTTAGGGTTTACCGTCTAGGCTTTCGGATTTAGGGTTTAGGGAGGTTTAGGGTTTAGGGCTTAGTTTAGGGTTTAGGGTTCAGGGTTCAGGGTTTAGGGTTTAGGGTTTAGGGTTTAGGGTTTAGGGTTTGTCGTGGTGTTTTGTTGCGGGTTCATTTGGTGGTTTGTTGGGGCTTTGGATAGCTTTGGATTGCACAGCCCCTCATACTTGCAACTGCAACATTCTTTTGCCTACAGCTTGTAGAACTGGGCACTTCTGAACGCGTGTGCATCGCAGAGGTAATCTCAGCAACGGGCGTTGAGAGGCTTGCTTTACATTTCAGGGTTAGGGCATCC